TGATCAATTTTGTAGTTAGGCTAGTAGTAACCAAGGCATTGGGACTTTCACCTCGCTCTACCAAGCAACAGAGATCCTGAGTGAGGGCCAACAGGATCTTTTCAACCTAGGAGTTACTCCCTTCTGATTGATCAGAGCGGAATAATTTGTACTTCCCCTGGTAAAGGTAAGGCAATCCTGATTGACAGGTGGTTTGATCTTCCGGTGTAGCTGATTATGCCCCTTTCTAGCAATTAAAGAATGTTAATTGCTCCATGGGTTTCAACAGCCTCTAGTAATCTTGACTAGAAAACAAAATCACTCTAATGAGGATCTCCCCCTGTTTGGCCTTTCTCTTGAAGTTCAAGTCACCCCTAATTTTGAAAAGTAAAAGCAAGAACAGTAGAGTTGTTTCCCCCTTCCCCAAGAGGGCCTAGCCCAAGCTGGTTCTCTATTTAAGGTACAAACAAAATGGGGTCACACTTTAAATTGGTTAATAAGGAGATACTCTGGGGAATAGGAGTTGGAGAGGTTTCCTTTTGAGTTGGGCTAATTCTGGCCTCAAGCCTACACATAGCCCTCTAGGTTCTCAGATTCAGCCCTTTGCCTGAATTGAAACTTCACAGAACAAATCCCCTTAATAAAAGAATTTGTTGGGGCAACTAGGTGGTGCAGTGGATAGAGCACCAGCCCTGAAGTCAGGAGAACCTGAGTTCAAATCTGACCTCAGACCAAACACTTGACACTTACTAGCTGTGTGACCCTGGGCAAGTCACTTAACCCCAATTGCCTAAAAAAAATAAATAAATAAAAATAAAAGAATTTGTTCAATAAAACTTGGACTCAGTCAAAAAGCTGGACCCAAGGACCTAGAAGGCCACATGTGGCCTCGGGGCTGCAGGTGTCCCACTCCTGGGCTAAGAGATGGGATTCTGACAAAATAGGGGAAAATGGATTACAGAGCAATATTAATTATCAAATGATATAGTATAATTTAATTTTCCTCAAGATGTTATAGACAGTATTCCATATTCCTATTTCTCCACCCTGGAAAAGAAGGGGAAGGAAGAAGTGTTTTCTTATATCTTTTCTTTGTAACTACCTTTGATTATTATTAATTATACCCAAATTTAAATCCAAACTGTTTTGGTTAACATTTAAAGCTTTTCACAACCTGGCCTCTTTCTATCTTTTAAGTTGTAGGTTTGGTTTTTTTTTTAAATCCATCATTCCCTTGCATGAACTTTCCCTTCCAGTGATCCTGTCCTGCTTGCTCTTTCCCATCAACAAATACACGTTTTGCATCTTTGCACAGACTGGGCCCCTGCTGTGGGTGTTCCTCTAAACCTCCACCTTGTAGAATCCCTGGATTCCTGCAAGATGAAGCTTAAGCACCTGAAGCACAAGAGGGAAGAGTTCTTCCCTCCTCTCACCATTTGGTACCTTTGGTGGAGTAAGTGACTTGTTAGATGAAAGGAAGGTTAAGGGAGTACACAAGCAGGAAATGTCTGAGTTGTGGCATGAATCCAGGTCTTCCTGTGCAGAAGCTATCTCTTTATGTTCCATCACACTGTGTCTCTCCCTAAGTCTAATGAGAACTTTCTATAAAGAGAACTCTCCCGTAATACTCCCTCATAAGCAGGATGCTAAATGTTTTCCTTCTCCAGACCTCCTTTCCGTCTGAATTTCATCTCCTAATAGGAGTAGTTGATGATGCTAGATTCTTGCAATGTCCACTCCCCCGTATTTGAGAAGACCCTGCCACTCTCTTCAGTTCTGTCAGCTGATGCTTCTCACCCAAACAAAAGGTTTCTGAGTATAAAAGACCAAACCCTTTTCAATGTAACACAAAATTCACCTTCTCCAAACAGATATTTTGGAGCTTAAAATAATTGGCAATGTGGGAAGTAAGCACATCTGGAAACTGGAACCTTGTTCTAACTGAAATGCTCTTTAATTCATTCTGAATATCCAAGTCCCTGAAGAGACCTAAGGCTAAAGCTGGGACATCTTCTTAGCCAAATTTGTCAATCAGCACAGCCTACAAAGTGAGAACTGAAGGGGACTGATGTCATCATTTCTGTTTGATTAAAGCATGGTATAGCATTTCATCGTAACTGTAACATTTCCTCCTTGATCTCTGGCAAATGAAACCAACTCTGAAATTCAGAAAAGGAAATAAGATTTCTAAGTGAGAAACCTATCTTGGATGTTTCTAACTAGGATGCTTCCTCTGAATCTCAGTTCCTCCCAACAGAAGGTGGAAATTCACCCTGTCCAGCACAAGATATGAATTATGTTGATTCTTAGCCCTCAATACCACCCCTCTGCCATAAGTTTTGTTCTGATAATACTGATAATGAGAAATTCACACTCTCAATTGAATTAGCAACCAGTACCATGGGGTTTACACCTCTGCCAAAGTCAGTGTCACACCTGGGTCGGCTTTTCAGAGCATTACAAACACAGAATGGCAGAGTTGGAGGCCCTCCCCTTAGATATCAACTAGTCCAAACTGTACCTGAGAATGACCTCTATAGCAGAGCCAATGAGTTTTGTTGAATCAGTCTTACTTTTCTTCACTTCTTGAGAGAATTGTGGAAATTGAGAGAAACACACTAACTCCATCTTGTGACTTAATCTTGTGACTTAACATAATTTAATTAATTATGGTTATAGTCCAAATTCTGTCTTGTAGATAAATTTATTGAATTTTGGGAATTGGGAGAAAACTTCTTTTGATTGTTTGGAGAGGAAAGGATGATTGGCATGACATATCTAATGTATTTGGTGTGTATGTTAATTAGTTTTGCAGAATTACTTTTTTGTCTCTGTGGTTTTTTTTTCTTTACTGGTTAAAATAGCTTACTGAATAAAGGAAAGTATGGAATGTACTCAGAACTGAAGGAGATGAAAAAATAAAGGCTATTAATAAATGTTATTCTTTTTTTTTTAGGCAATTGGGGTTAAGTGACTTGCCCAGGGTCACACAGCTAATAAGTGTCAAGTGTTTGGTCTGAGGCCAGATTTGAACTCAGGTTCTCCTGACTTTAAGGCCAGTGCTCTATCCACTGCACTACATAGCTGCCCCTAATAAATGTTATTCTTTAAAAAGAATCCTGATGTAAAAAGTATTTGAAAGAGAATCTCAGGGAAAACTTTAACTCCTTCTCATCACACCCACTCCCCATTTTCCTCTTACCAAATATGCTTATTTTAATCATTATTCTGAATTCTATTTGTGGAGAACCTATTTATGATATAAGGAAGTTTTCCAAGCAGAGCTAAAGATTGTATTTTTATCTTTCTCATTTTGACTAAGGCAAAATGGCTAAGTATCAGTGTAAATGCTTCCTCCTTAGTACATGGGCTAAGTGCCTAGGTTTGAAACTCTTATCTTTGGGAAGTCCCTAGGTGTAAACAAACCTCAGTGTCAAGGAAAGCCAGGAGAATTCACAAGTTGAAGGAAAGAGGGGCTTCAGCCTAGTGGTATATAAAAGGCTTGGGATGAGAAAGACCCAGAGATTCATTATGCTGAATGCAGAGCTGAAGGCAGAGCAGTGACACTTGAAGGAAAGATCCCAGAAGAACAAGGGAAGGTAAGTTTTCCCATGAAAAATTTCATTTGTGTATCAAGGATTTAAGAATTGTTCCCTGTGATATGGTAGGCGTCGAGGTTGAAAGACATATTTCTCTATGATGAAATATAAACTTTGGGAATGAATCTTCTGAAGTGAGCAAAGTGAGAAGGGAGGCAGATTTCATGTTCATGGGTTAGTCAATAACAACTCAGGTCAAGTGGAGAAACTCATCTGGCTGAGCCAAAAAGTAGTGGTAAGAGTCTGGAAGAATGAATATCTTCCTTTGTCTACCTAGTTATTCTGAATTTCTCCCTTCATAAATTTTGCAAATATACCTAAAGATACCAACTCCTACATGAAAGAATTCTCCTAGTCAGTAATGATCAAATAAATTCAAGAGTTGAACATCATACCCAATCAACTGGCAAAGAACAATGCTGAAAGGTCTGCAAGAAGACAGGTAAACTAAGGCACTATTGGTGAAGCTATTAGTAAGGCTACCCATGTGGGAAGGACATTTGTTATTTTCCTCAAAAATGGATCTAAAGTATCCAGGATCTACACACTTTGATGCAGAGATGCCACTTTTGGTCATAGGTCAAAGAGGTCAAAAGAATAGTGCCAAATTTATCCAAATATTCAAAGCATCATTTTTTCCTAGTAGCAAAATAATTAGAAACACAGTGGGTATTGTAAATCAGGGAGTGACTAGACCAACCACTGTAAATTAACATGTTGGAACATTATTATGACATACAGTAAAGGGGGAAGCTATAATATATGATGCTGACTGAAATTTGTACCATCAGGAAAACCAGTATACATAGGGACTACAGCCATTTAAATGAAAGAAGGACAGGACAAAATTGTAATTATTTCTATGCTGGACCCCAAATTAGAGTTAAGAAAACTTACCTCCTTCATATCTTTGCAGATGTGTAGGGTATTATGGGTATGGATGACTGGAAGTACTGTCAGCCATAGTTAATGTATTCTTTGGTTCTTGGAGAACTGTTGTTGTTTGCCTGTTCAGTTGCTGTTCTAAGAGAAGACTTGATGTGGAGGGTAGGAGCCTTTCTTCAAATGACTGAGAAGTGAAAGGGAAAAGGAACAATAAAATTTAAGACAGACAGAAAGACACACACACACACACACACACAGAGTTCTTTAGAAGATATAATTGAAGTAATATTTCAGCTGGAGGTATATTCCTAGTCTGGAGAGTATTTGAGATCAGAGAGGACTCAAAATCACCACATTTTTTTACCTCACTTTCCCCAACTGCATAATGTAAAATATCGATCTTTTCCTTTTCTATAGAGGGTACTCTGAAAAGAAAATGAGATGAGAAAGGTGATCCATTTCAAGTGCACAAGTACTAAGGGCATTTCTGTCCCCAGATCCACTCACTGACCTTTTCCATTCTCTTTCCTCAGAAACATGGCCTCTTTCCCAGAACTGATTGAAAACTTCCAGGAAGAGCTCATTTGCTCCATCTGCAGGGATTACTTGGAAAACCCAATGTCCATTGAGTGTGGTCACAGTTTTTGCCATAGTTGCCTCCTCAGGAGCTGGCAGCAAGCCTCTCCCTCTTTCTCCTGCCCAGAGTGCAGGAGTGTCTCCCAGGTTAGGACTTTCAAAGCCAATGTGCGTCTTGGGAAACTGGCAGCCATTGCCAAAACACTAAGACCTCATTGTTTGCAATACCCTGGAAGCCATAGCAAGTGTGAGACACACCAGAAAGTGCAGAAACTGTTCTGTGAGGATGACCAGAGCCCAATCTGTATGTCCTGTTCTGAGTCCAACAAGCATAAGGCTCATACACTCAGTTGCATAGATGAGGCTGCTGAGGACTTCAGGGTATGTACTAGATTCATCACTCCATCCACAAGTGCATTTTAAATTTGCACTCCAGTCTGCAAAGATCATCCTAGGAAGACAGGTGGTGTTTTGATGTGCCAGTCACTGTGCTCTAAGTGCTCACAAGGCTGTTGTTGAAATGCATTGTGCTGTGTGCTCTGGCCTCAGCCTGAGCTTTTACTGATGGTCTGAGATCAACAGAAAGTTTCAGATGTTCAAATACTTCTTCTAACTTGGTTTGAAATGTCTACTCCTGTTGTGTTCAGGGAGAACCGTGAGTCTTTTTATTTTTTTTTAAATTTTTAAATTTTTTAAAATTTATTTTGATTTATCAACAATCACTTCCATAAGCTTTTGAGCTTTAAATTTTTCTCCCCCTCCCTTCCAACCTCCCTCCCCAAGACAGCATGCAATCTGATATAGGCTCTCTAAATACATTCCTATTAATCATATTTTCACATTAGTGATGTTGTGAAGAAGAATTAGAACCAATAGAAGGAATCACAAGAAAGAGGAAACAAAATAAACTCCATAGTTCTTTCTCTGGATGTGGATAGCATTTTCCATCATGAGACTTTTGGAGAAGTCTTAGATTCTTGCATTGCTGAGAAGGGCTAAGTCTATCAAAGTTAGTCATAGCACAATGTGGCTGTTATTTTGTACAATGTTGTCCTGGTTCTGCTCATTTCACTCAGCATCAGACCATACAAGTCTTTCCAGGTTTTTCTGAAGTCCACATGCTCATCATTTCTTATAGCACAATAGTATTCCATTACATTCATATACCACAACTTGTTCAGCTATTCCCCAATTTATGGGCACCCCCTCAATTTCCAACTCTTTGCCACCACAAAAAGAGCTGCTATAAATATTTCTGTATGTGTGGGTCCTTTTCCCGTTTGTATGATCTCTTTGGGATACAGCCTTAGAAGTGCTATTGCTGAGTCAAAGAGTATGCACATTTTTATAACCCTTTGGGTATAGTTCCAAATTGCTCTCCAAAATGGTTGGATCATTTCACAACTCCACCAACAATGCATTAGTGTTCCAATTTTCCCACATCTTCTCCAATATTTGTCATTTTCCTGTTTTGTCATGTTGGTTAATCTAATAGGTATGATGTGGTATCCTTGAGTCTTTTCGGTGAATGGAATCAGGTAATCTAAGATTATTAGGGCCATCTTCATCTGTTAGGATAATTGGTATCACCTTCATTCTTCATCAAGTAGAGAAGAGGGGCAAGACAATTGAACAATATTTGTCCTTTGTATTTGACACTCGAAAGTTACCTCCTGGTGGAGGTATACAGGACAAAGGAGAGATTATCTTGTCAGACTTGTTTAGGCCTAGATCTACACTTGCTCTCTTTCCTTCTTCATGTTAAGTCCTGCTTCACTCTCCTGAGGCTTGAATGTGAGGCAGGTAGGTGAGGGGCTTCTTGGTCCTCTACTTTGCTCCTAGGCTTGATTCTTTTCATGCATGCAACCAACCCGTACACACTGAATTACCTAAGACATTGAGAAAAGAATAACTGACAATGTCATAGGCAGCCCAGAAAATTAAAGTTGAACTAAGGAGAGAATAGCATAATCCTGAGCTATGCATTAAGGAAGTTAGGCACTCCAACTTCTATCTCAAAAAGACCCTGGAGAGGCTCTAGTCCTATTTCCTCTTTACTTTTTTGAGAAAACTGAGACATAGCCAAGTTAAGTTACATCCAGAGTCACACATCTATACAGAGGCAAAGGAGCCATAAGAATATCTTACTCCCAGGCCATATCTGTCTTCTTATAAGAAACTTGGTTGTGGGCTGAGGTTATGTATGATGGTGTCTATAGGAATCAGGTTTTCCTCTGAGACTTGAAATCCAAGACATGAACAGGATAAGTGGAGTGTGGAAGCACATTCCAGTGGAATGGGATGTCTGCTCTTCATTTGTAAAATTAGGGGGTTGAATGAGATGGCCTCTATCCTTTTCCCCTCTTGGGCCATCAAACTCAGAACCATGCTTTCTGTATAACTTGGACATCACACCATGGGCCACATAGGCCTGAAGCTCACAGTTTCATCTTTCACTTGTAGTTTTAAAAGTAAGGGCACTATTCTTTCATTATTAATTGGTCTCTCAGCCATTCACACATGAATAGTTTAGAATATGTAGAACTGAAATGCCTCATCGATAAAATAATTCATGTTTTTAAAAAAAATTTTATAGGAGAACCTCCAGGAAACTGTAACAGATTTGTGGAGAAAAACTAAGGATGTTGAACAACAGATGACTGATGAGAAGGTTAAATTGTCACTACTGGAGGCAAGTATTTATTTCTTCATCTCTCAGCAATCAACACATATTGTCTGCTGCGCTTCCCTCCAAGTATCCCTCCCAGAGAAGTAGGAGACATTTGCCTCCACTGAATGTTACAGTTGAGGATAGCTGGCAAGTGGAACAAGGGACAGTAATAACCAGGCTTAGCTGGTTGAGGGCACCATAGGAAGGGATGTGGTGTTTTCAAGCAGGAGAAGGGAGGATTGTGCTTGGAGCAAAAAGCACAGTGCAATGGGAACATTGCAGAAAATGCTCTCACTATGCATGGCCAACTTTGGCCACAGAAATGAACAAAATCAAAGTCCAATTGTGAGCTAAAAAGCTCATCACTCAACCATTGCCGCTTAATGTTATGTCATTTCCTGTATTTTGTCATTCTCATCTATTTCATTACAGAAGGAGGTAAAGACTCAAAAGGAAACTATTTCTTCTGAATTCCAGAAATTACAACATTTCCTGGATGAGGAGAAAAATGAATATCTATCAATTGTGGAGAGGCAGGGAAGGGCCAATGTGAAAGGCCTGAAGAAGAGAATAAGGGAATTATCCCTTCAAAATCAAGAATTAAGGAAGAGGATCAGAGAGTCAGAGGAAGTGTGCAGGAAACCAGATGTGGATTTGCTCCAGGTAAGGGATGGGAATTACGAGTAAGGAACATAAAAGATAAAACCAGGAGCTTACCAATGCCATCCACTTCTCAGAAAACCATGAAGTGGAGTACAAATGAAGAGTGCTTTAATATGCTACTGATCTCTTCCATCTCCAACTCTGATCTCCAAACTCATGATGAACTATTCCACAAGTTCAGAAAGCACACACAGTTTTTTAAATGATGCAATTGAACAGATTCCTTTGCATTTGTTTTACATATAATGTGTATTTTTTCTGTTGTGTACCTGTAACATCCTAACAAATAGTTGTATACTGATTACAATGCCAGATTTCAAAAAATACAGATCACCTTCCTTGAAAATGGATCATACATGCATGAATTATGTGCAAATATATGAAGGACATAAGATTTACTGAACATCTTAAAACCTTTCATTGCTCTCTATTTTTATGTTCTTTCTGAGACCTGTATCCCTCCAGCTGACATTGAGTCCCTTACTGTCCTGTCCAATCCTGGTGATACTTTCACATGCACTGTCACTCTTGTCCCTCCTCTTACAAGTTCATTGCATGAGGCAAAATATTCCTCTCTCCATTGCCACTGTACCAATCTCCCTCTTTTCATGTAGTTCAATAACCTCTCCTCCTTTGAGGTTCGTTCCAATTAAATTACTTCTGTAGCTGTGGAGACCATGCACTAGAGTAAGGAGAGGCTATTGGAACTATGATAAATGGGAAGGTCATGGCAATAGTCTAGGTAAGGTGAATAGGGTCTGAGCTAAAGTGGTAGCTGTGTGAGAGGAGAGAAAGGGGAATATATGTGAGACATGTTGCAGACCAAGAAGCTCCAAGATTCTTCCCTATTCTATGGGTTTCCCTGTGGCAATGAAACGGTGATCCATTCCAAAGTCTCATTTTCCTACCTCAAATACAGCGTTGGCCTAACCACATATCATTTTTTTTTTTTCCTCCTCAGGATATAAAAGGAGTGTTAAAGAGGTAGGTTCCTATTCTTCCTTCATCTGGAAAGCTCTAAACAAATTTGAGTTAACAGGCCTTGACTGAGTAAAGGGATGAAGACTGTGCCAAGATTCTTATGATTACTGGAGACCTAAACTTGGTGTTTGTTTTCCATAGGAATAAATCTGTGATCCACAAGGAAGTAGATATGTTTCCCGTAAAGACGATTTTTCGTCCTATCCCTGGAATTCTAGAAATGCTTTTAAAATTTAAAGGTGAGTAAAAAGATCTGTAACAAAGAGACAACATACCTCCAAGCCTTGACCAATTATCCTTTGGGCCAGAACCCATCTGGCTTTCACAGAAACTCAGAATCTTGCAGCCGGAAAGAACCTACCTCTATGGCCATCTAGTTTACTTTCTCAGAGAGAGAGTGATTCTCTCTGCAAAATATTTGATAAGTAGTCATCCAGACTTTGCTTGAAATCATCTGTTGAAGAGGAGCCTAATAATCACAAACACATATTTTTCTGGTTTTTTTTTTAATTGTTCTCATCACCAAGAAGGTTTTTCTCACATCAAGGCTAAATATGACTTTTTACAAGATCCAACCAATTCTCCTTGATCTAGCATCAGAAGTCCAGCAGAGAAATTTAAGGTTTCTTTCACGTGAAAACCATTCAAGTACTTGAAGACAGCTGCCATGTGACCCCTTAAATCATCTCTTCTCCAAAATACACAAGCCCAGTCCCTTCAAATCAGGTTCAAATGATGCCAACTGAAATTTATGGGGGAAATGTTTCAGGACAAGTTTCAGAACTGTTTCAGGAATATTAAGGTTGAGATGCCAGTGATGCCTGTGGGAAGGTTTGTCCTGGGAGTAGCTGAACAGGCAGATCTAGATTTCAGGAGATATATTAGAAAAATATTTGAAAAAAAATAAAAAAAGAAAAATATTTGGGACCCTCTGCACAAAAGTTAAATCCTTGACAACGAATAAGGTTGTTGAGGAAGACAATCACATCCTTATTCTCCAGGCTGTACAAGAAGAAATAAATCTGATGAAAGATTTTCCACAGATAGAGAGAAATTCAGAGGAATGAAGGGAGACACACATATACAAGAGAGAGACACAGAGCAAGGGATATAGAAACAGAAAGATAAAAAGAGGAGGAGACAGAGAGACAGAGACAGGGAATATAGGGAAGAAGGATGAAGGGAAGTGCAAAAAGATGTGAAAGAGAAATGGTAAAGAGAGCTGTAGGATATATCTTCCTTAGTCTTCCATGGTGCTTCTCAGAGGCACTGGTCTTCATCTCCCTCCTGTGCAGCCTTTGAACACTACCTAGAAGAGTCAGCATACCATGACTCTAATTTCATGAATTTCTAGATTCTAATTTCTAGAATCATGAATATGATCTATTAAATCCTGACATTGGTTAACCACTTTTTGTGAGACTTAGCAGAAAGAACCAGATTTTCCAAAACAGCCCCTAACACACTGTCACATCTACCTGACAACCCAAGACCATTCTGCTCCTCATACCATGGAACTGTTCTGCCTCTCTCCAGTCACTTTTTACAGTCACATATTACTGTGATCCCTTGATTGCCATTTCATAGTGTACACACCTGATCCCATCCCCTATAAAACAAAGCAAATCTCTGACAATACCATTCATTGAACCTCAACTTCTTCTCTCCACAGTGGACATCACTCTGGATCGTGACACAGCTGATCCAGGTGTCATCATCTCTGAAGATTTGAAGAGTATGAGATATGGAGGTGCACAGGTACAAGTGCCCATCAACATTGGGAGATTCAGTTATTTTGCCCAAGTTCTTGGTACTCAGTCCTTCATTTCAAGTAGACACTACTGGGCAGTGGAGGTACCAGACGACCCTGGATGGTGTGTTGGCATCTCTAATGGACCACCTACACCTGAAGTCTTCTTTGTGCTTATGGCTATACAAGGTCACATGGGTGGTCATCTTTATGCCATAGGCAAGCAGCACCTTTATTCTGTGCCTCATGTAAAATACTGCCAGAACTGTGTGTCCAACCTAATGGTGGGTATTTTCCTTGACTATGAAAAAGGAGAGGTGTCATTTTATAATGTTAAAGAAAGATCTCTTATTTTTGCCTTTGAAAACATTTCCTTCTCAGGACCTTTTCAACCTTTCTTCTGTCTTTCTAAGAAAATCCTGACAAATGATTGCTCTCTCATGATCTGTCCCTAATTGAGAGACATCAAAAACATATGTATTTATCCTTCAAATAAACATCAGGCACTCTATTCCATAATTCCTGTGTGTCATAAAATTTTAAAACTAGAAGGGCCCTCAGAGGGTACGTATCATCACCATCTAATTTCACACATAACAACAGAACTCTGGGGAGGTAAAATGACTTGCCTACCCTAAATAGGATTCTTGGACCTACCTCCCAAACCAATTATATCATTTGTCCATCGTGTGTAGTTTGTATATACTTATCTTTGTACATGTTTTTCCTCTGACCTTAGGATAATATATGCTAACATGACAGCAGAGACTATTTCCTTTTTTATTTTTGGTATTTGTATATTTTGTATTTTGTATTATTTGTATTGTAGTTCCTAGCAAATTGCCTAATAAAAAGTTCTTAATAATGCTGTTTGAATTGAATTGAATATATTCAACTATTCATAGGATCATCATCAGAATCATGTTAAGTTGGTAGGGAATTTAGAGGTCATCTAGTCTAGCTCCCTCACATAAAATAGGAGGTAACTGAGGCTCAGAGAGGTTTGGTGACTTGACCAAGTTCTCTTAGGTAGAGAGGGAGTGGCTGAGCTAGAGTTTAAAACTAGTTCCCTGTTTGCAAATCAAGCAAGCTTTCTAAAACCCCACACTGCCAATAGAACTAGGACAAGAGACCCTGATACTTGGAAACTCAGCCCATTGCTTTTACTATGAAGACACTAATGGAAAATCAGGGGGTAAGTGACTTGCCCAGTGTCACACAGCTAGTAAGTGTCTGAGGTCAGATTTGAACTCAGGTCCTCCTGACTCCAGAGCTGGTGCTCTACCCACTGTGCAACCTAGCTGCCCCTAAAGCCAGTATTGTCAGAGGCAAGACTTGAGCCCATATTTCTCTGCCTGGGAGGCTACATCTCTACCGGAATATCACTTAGATCCTCCTATCTCACACTTAAATCAGAAGAAATGATAAGTCTCCATACCCTCCCAGGAGTGTACACTTTTAACAACCCAAATATCCCTGTATTGGGAAGATATTTGAGTTAGGGACATATTGTTAAATCATGACATTGAGTTGACTTTGTCTTCCTATAGGAGGGCTTGGGAATTGGAAACTTTGGCTAATGAGATCACTATATTGTGTGGCTGGGAGGACGATTATGTCTTAGATCATCAGTGGGGAACCTGCTGCCTTGATGTTACATGTAGACCTGCTAGGTCCTCACGTGTGGCCCTTTGACTGAATTTAAACTTCACAAAACAACGCCCCTTAATAAAAGGATTTGTTCTGAAAAACTTGGACTCAGTGAGAAGGCTGCACCCAAGGACCCAGAAGGCCACATGTGCCCTGGAGGCTGCAGGTAATGGGATGTTAGAAGTGGAAAGACTTTGGTGATAAAGGTTATGAGTTCCATTTTGGACATGTTGAGTGTAAGATACCTAAATTCACATTTTCAGATTTGATTCTGGACATTAAGGAGAAAGATGAATAGAACCAAGAATCATAATTATAGAAATAATAATTGAGTTGAGAATTAAGTTGAGAAGGAAGGGAATTTTTAAAAGGCCATTAGATTGGCAAAAGCAGAAGATATTTTGATACGTCTACTCCTTTTCAAGCCACATGCTTCCCCAAAGTTGCAGACATTTTGAAAAGTCTGTTCCCATCAGAAGTAATCAAAGCAAAAAGATGTACAAGGAAGCCAAGAATAATTGAAATAGGAAGCCAACAAAAAACCCAAGTAGCCTAAATCAAGCTAACCAGGATGGACTAAAGTGAAATGACAGGATGATGGCCCTGGTGATATCAAAAATGGGTTCTGGAAACACAAAACTACTTTATAGCATGGTTGTGCCTCAGCCACAGGAATTTAAATTAAATGTAATACAGACATTGCTTTAATCTGCAAACATGAAAAAAAAATTTTCATAGCTGCCCTAAAAGGGAAAAGAATATGTGAATAAGTATTAACAATAGTACTGTGGGTCAGATTGGGCATTACAGAAACAAGGAAGCAGCTAACAAGAAAAGAAAAAAAAAACTTAGTATAAGGGAAGTCCACAAGAAGAGTTCCACTTAACAGAGTAATATGGGGTTTTCAAGGTATAGCAAAGATGAACTAAGTACCCAGTCAATCAGCAACACTTCAAAGCAGAAAGGAAATAGAGAAAATGTGTTAACCTTGGTGTCTCAAGAGTTTCCAGAGGTCGTATTTTTTCCTATGGGATAATGTATTGTCTATGGTTAATTGTATCAGAATATTTGCCAGGAAATATTGCTTTATTTGGCCTCACAGCCCAGATTAAAGCAAAAACTGGGTTTGGGGGGGTATACAGGAAATTGTTATTCAGGAAGGTAATACCTAATAGAGCTCTATTATTATACAGTACAGTAAAGAAAGAAAGGAAGGAAGGAAGGAAGGAAGGAAGGAAGGAAGGAAGGAAGGAAGGAAGGAAGGAAGGAAGGAAGGAAAGAAGGAAAAAAGGAAGGGAAGAAGGAAGGAGAAAGGAAGGGAAGCAAGGAAGGATACCCACACTATATGGAAATATAAGCACATATTGGTTTGTTCCTAGGAATACAAAAATCTCACCTGGAAGGAGGGGGAGGGAGTCGTGTCAGGGAGAGCATACATTTAATGCTGAGGTTCAAGTAGAGAGGTTTTATAACCTAAAAATTGGCTTGGTGATAAAAAAGCGATCAGTGACAGATGTGGGAGGAAGCATTCCTAATTAGACCTTGATATGGTGGAGCAATGCTTGGGATCAATACCAGGCTCAAGGGAGGCTTAGGTAGAGGGAGTTTCTTTATCAAGACCCAAATTGGGAGAAGGTTGGAGTTAACTATCTGAGGCAGCAGAAGAGTAGTTCACAGGCCATGTCAGTTGGTCAATAGTTTGATCTATTTAGAGATTGTGAGTATTAACCACTTGACACAGTTTTAGTATATATCAGAACAGTGGAATAGCACAAGCCTATCTCTTATGGCCCTTATGCTTTATGGACAATAGGAACACTTTGCCGAAGTGATTTATTTCATTGGAGTCTTATCATCATAACTATAGCATTGGACAACATAAACAATTACAATGATCACACATGTGTAAGACAGCAGAGACTTCCTTCAAGAGAGAATCAGTCAGACTCATCCTGCCCTTGCCAGATTGTGGGTTTCTCTGTCTATACAATCATGTACCTCTGTTTCTTTTCCCTATGAGGTTACTTTTTCTGGGAAGGTGTTTCCCCATACTTACAGGACTCATTTTCATCCTGCTCCATAGTATATATAGATGATTTCACTTTAAGGAAAAGCAATCTTTTAGTTCAAAATACAATGAAACCTAACCAGGAACCTACTTACTATTCAACATAAAACACTCAAGTGGGCATTTAAGCCCACCCCCTCCCCCAATAATCTGCATCCTACTTTTATAGTCATATATATATATATATGTGTGTGTGTGTGTGTGTGTGTGTGTGTGTGTGTGAATTTATGTTTATTTTTTCCTATTCTAACATCTCTGTTCCAGTCCAATTGGCCCATTAGCCATTCTGCAAACAATATAAACTATCCCTTGCCTGATTGTCTTTGGTCTTTCATGCCTGAAATCTACTTTCTCTTCACCTCCAACTCTTCCAATGCTTCCTTCCTGTCAAGGCTTATCTCAGGTATCACCTCTTTCAGGAAAATTTTTCTGATCACACCTGTTCTTAAATGCTCTCTTCCTCCAGAAAAAAATTTGACATTTACTTTGTAAATGCTTTGCATCTGTGTAGAGATCCATGTTCTCTCTTCCTAGCAGAATGTAAAGTTTTTGAAGTACAACCTGTTTCATTCCATTTTTTAAATTATTCATTATTTCTTTTTAGCATGCATTTTTAAAAATTTTGAGTTCTGAATTCTCTTCCTCCTTCCCCTCTCCCCTATACATTGTAAAGGCAAGAAATGTGAAGAATTTTCATATTTTAATACCTAGATTCAAGCCAGTGGAACACAGGCAGGCACTAGGACATTCAGAATTCTTCCTACTGATCATTAGAGATCTACATGTTATATTTGGGCTTCAGAGTGAGGCTTGGATGGACGCTGGAATTTCTACTGCCACCCAGTGGCTGATGGTGATGTTGTGCCCTGATTAATAATCTAGATCTTCATCTTCAAAGGCACATGAGCATAGATGCTCTGCTACATATTTTTTCTTCTGCATTGCCCAGGAATGTGGAAGGTACATAATTATAGAAGACATGGGTTCATTCATTAACAAACCTTGCAAGATGAATTCAAATTCAATTTTGACTAACCTACTGGATTTGTTGCCAAGAGAAATTGGCATTGAGTGAATATTCCTAGATTTCATCAAGGTTTCATCATATCTTTTGTGTTGTCTCAGTGAACACTATGAAGATTTGTCAGCTAGATGATAGGATAGTTTGAAATATTCAGAAATGATTGAATGATTGGATTAAAAATATTAGACATGAATGTATATGTTTCCAAGTTGTTGGGTTTTTTGTTTTTTTTTTGAGGTAATTGGAGTTAAGTGACTTGCCCAGAGTCACATAGCTAATGAGTGTTATGTGTGTGAGGCCAGATTTGAACTTAGGTCCTCCTGACTCCAGGGCTGATGCTCTATCCACTTTGCCACCTAGCTGCACCTTATATGTTTCCATTTAGAAGTGAAATACCACAGTTTCCCCTTCATTCTGTTTTGCCAAATTTTATCAATAACTCATATAGGGTTATCAAATTTGTAGATAGCATAAATACTTTAGCCATAGTTTGCTATGATTTTGGCTGATAGAGTCTATTGATATCCTCAGCAAAAGGTTTCTACAGACTAGAATGATGAACTAAATTGAATAAAGATGTGATTTAATAGTGATAGTAGAAAGGCAAATGCTTTGTCTTTTCATAGCTATTGTATAACCCTAACTCTAATACCTTCAACAATGTGGATCACTATTCATTCCTATTTCTTCATCCCCTTTGACTTCTATTTTTG